TGAACATACAATCTTGGTGGATACACCTGAGCTTGTACATTTATGGATTTACACGATCTACCTTAAAATCGACCGAGTCTAGCATGTGAAACTTTTTTATGGCTCGGATACAATCTTCTCTATTACGAAATTTATCTTTCTCTTTTAAGTTTTCATCTGACTGCATATACAGATTGAAAAAAACATTAGATAAGGGTTCATCTCCGCCCATGTTGAAGTTTGTCATGTGTGGAGGTGGTGTGTAGATCTCATTCGGAGGTATACTAGGTATCCCATCGTCTTCAGAATCATCTTTGACCATGTCGTCAAACTCTAACTCGTCATCTTCCTCTTCTTAATCAACGACATCTACTTCGGCTTGTTCTTCTTCAAGAGGATCAACCACTTGTGACTGAATTAGTCGTGACAACTGAGGCTCCCGCAACATAATGTACAACTCAATAGAGTCGTACCCAGAATAATTATGACTGGAAAACATATTTTGAAGGTACTCATCATCTTGAACCCCAACCATATAATATACTATTTGGTTCTCACCAAAAAACTGGATTTTGATAGAAGATTTATGTCATGAGACCTTGTCCAAGTTTGACCTCCAATCGTTTTTTGAAATACAAGAAATTGACTTTCTTGTTTAAAGAAAATAAGATGTTCTCAGTGTCTCTAAATAAAAACCCTAAGGTGGGACAAATTTGTGTCTCACCGTTGAAATGTGCATTGATAACATATTATGGTGTAGAGGCTGTTGTGTTTAAATGTTTGAAGGTATGAAGGTTTGAGTGTTTGAATGTTTAAGTGTTTGAGTGTTTGAGTGCCTGATTGTTTGAATTTCTGAATGTTCTAGTGTTTGAGGGATTAAGTGTAGAAGTGTTTTGATAAATGTAGGATTAAATAGGTTGCACTAAATTTGAACAAGACAACAATAAGCACTAATTCTCCTCCCTACATGTCCAATCATATTACATGCATGCAGAAAACCCTTCCCCAAGACTACCACCTAGCCTACACCTACATTGTAACTTATGCCACCTCTACTTCACCAATTGGGATGGAGACACTTTTCAATTTTATACTCATTCGCCAAGTCAAATGACACCTCCCTACATGTCCAATCGTATTACATGCATGCAGAAAACCCTTCCCCAAGACTGCCACCTAACCTGCACCTACACTGCAACCTATGCCACCTTTATTTTTCCAATTGGGATGGCGACACCTTTCAATTTTGTACTAATTCTCCAAGTTAAATGGAGCCTCCCTACATGTCTAATCGTATTACATGCATGTAGAAAAATCTTCCCAATGACTGCCACCTAGCCTGCACCTACACTGCAACAACTAGGCATGTCCCACGCCAAGTTGAATGGCGCATGCTCTCTAAATTACATGTAGGCGTCATTTGACTTGGTGCATGAGTGACATGTATCATGCATGCATGCAACCACCAACCACCTCATTTATTAACTATGTGATACAATTTTGCCTATAAATATAGAGCCTCACATACTTGTTTTGCATCAACAATCATCTCACTCTCTGATACAAACTCTTTCATTATCTTATACAATTTCAACTATGGCTCTTTTCACAATGGGCGATTCTCACAGAGGCACAAGGGACAATACTGCGGCGTTTGTAAGTTTTTATAAATTCTCAAATATTCTTGTATACTAATATATTTTTTATAATATTATTAAAGATTTATACATCTTATGGACTCTTACACTTTTTACATTTTGAATTTAGGATACTAAAAGATTCAGAATTCGCTCACACAACTACATTGCTCCTGACCCGTTGATCGTGCCCTATCTCGAATATGTGGGTTTTAGAAATGTTATAAAAATCTCCAATTGCATGATTGATTCAAAGTTTATGATTGTAATGTTGGAAAGGTGGAGACCCGAGACACACACATTTCATCTACCAATAGGTGAATGTACCATCACACTAGAGGACGTGTATATGTTATTGAGTCTCCTTGTTGATGGTAAGGCGGTTAACGGGTCGGTTCAACAGCCTAATTCTCTATGCGAGGAATTGTTGGGAAAGGATATGGTTGAAGGTGGTGGTGCTAGAGGCCAATGTATATTACTTACTGAACTAAAAAACAGTATGCGACTCTAGAGTTGAACGAAAATTCCTCCGAGCTAGCAAGAGTAATAAAAGCTCATAATTATATAATGATACTGTTTAGAACCTTTTTATTTCCCAAAAGTACGAGGAATAGTGCAAATTTTATGTATTTAAATTTACTTATGAACTTTGAAAAACTAGAAAGTATAGTTGGGGTTCTGCTGTTTTAGCCTATCTATACAGTTCCTTGTACAAAAATGCAACCAAGGAAAAATGTACATTTTATGAATGCACTTTCTTACTCTAAGCCTGGGGTTGGTGGAGAATAGAGTCCCTAAACTCCGTCAACAACAACACATTCATGTTCCCATACGCAACAAAGTAAGTCAAGAACTTAAATCATTTATTATTCATTCGTTCACCAAATATATGTTAAAAATAATATATTTTACAATTCCTTTAGGTACTACGTGATGGGTATGAATTACGGCAAGAATCTCAGATTCAATGTTACTCTATATCGTAATCTATTGAATCACCTTGGCCCGGATAATGTACGTCGTACCTTTGAACTTTTCTAGTTTTAAATTATTTATTTATTACGTTTGCATAATGCTGACTTAATTTTATCCACAGTTTATCTGGAGACCATATTTGGGTTTGGACCATGAACCAAACCCTGAGGATGCAGCAGTTTGGACCGCAAAGACTGCAATCGTGCGATTCAACATTGTAGAGATGCACCACAGTGGTCGTGTCAAGATACGGTTCAGAATGCATCAAGAGATACCCTGCGATCCAACTTGTTTGTCCTCATGGAATCTCAAAAGGGTCGACGCCCAATGGGGTCTTACTAATTAGAAAGATTTTGCTCTAGAATAGTGTAAGATGTGGCATATGCGTCACCAACATGTCTTGCAATTCCCTGTTTTCATCAACCAGATTAATATGCGACACACAGATCAATATTTAGCTTGGTACAGATCGGTTAGTAATCCAGAAATGCACGTGTCTCATCCGAGGTATTTGGTTGACCCACGAACACAATGGGCACAACCCTCAAATCCCTAACAAAAACCCAACACACATCAACCTCCCACCAACCATCCTGACGATACAGATCCACAACCACCCAACCACAATCACCACCACAATATGAATACACCCATATGCCCCATAGCCAACCACAATCACCACCTCAATACCAATACCCCTATATGCCCCACACCCAACCACAATCTCAATCACAATACCAATACACCTGCATGTCTCACACATAATTCCAGTCTTCTCCATATCCCATCGTGGGCCCCTCAACATCTAACCTTAGCCCTGATCTGGGATTTTCTGAAGAATATGATCCAACCGACCTAACTTATCATCAACCACCACATCACCATAGCACCCAACAGTCGCAATACTAAACACCCCCAAGATTCATTTCCTTTCTACCCCCCTTACTCAGACGACCAGTGCTATAGACCAACCATGGAACCACACCCACCACTAAGACGAACCACACCCACCACTAAGACGACCAAACTTTGAGGGCATGGGTAACCGACTGTACCAAAGAGGATCTTCCAGATATGGTGATCTGACTGATTTCATGGATCCTGAACGCATTGACTTCGCTGAGCTATCGACCCTGCCACAATAGAAAATGCGACGAAACCCACCACGAGACAGGCGAGGACGCGCAACCACATGTCGTTATAGAGTTCCGGGGGACAACTAATTATTTTATATGTTTTTTATTATGTAATCGTTTTTTGTAAATGAAAAGTCAAATTTTCATGAAGCTATATCGTTTACCTAATATCTCGCATTTAAAATAAAAAACGAAACAATTACACCTCCATTTTCCTTAGCCGCCATCTCACATGGCTTAGGGCAAACTTTTAGCACCTATGCGCCAAGTGAGATGGCGCCTCCCCTTTATTTTTAGGTGCATGCGTCAACTGAGTTGACTCCTCCTTTGTGGGGTTTTCTGAAACATGGTTATTTACGTAATTTTCTCCAAAACATGATTATTTATATAAATTTTTTTCAAAACCTGATTATTAAAAAAAAATTTAAATAAGACTTAAGCTAAATAAAATAAAAGAGCTTTCCTAAATTCAAAAAGCTCTTTGAATTAAAAAAAAATTGTGAGAAGGGAGTGTGTATTTTAGCTGAGTTTAAATCTCATTTTCAAAATTATGATATAAGTAGAGGAGGACGAGACAAGCTTAATTGTAAAAGAATAAATTATATTTCATCTCTTGAAAAGTTTAACATCTTTTTATTGAATTATTTTATTTAAAGCTATATTTGAAGAAAGGCAATTTAAATTTAATTTTTCAACATTTTTTTCTCATCTTTCATAAAACAAAAACATGACTCAAATGAACTTTATTGTGTTCATTTGTAACAAATTATAAATCTAACGATTGAGTTTAAAATAATTTTCCTTCTTTTCCCAAATATCAAATGCATCCTACTTGAGTAAAAAAAATCAAATGCATCCTCCTAAAGACCACATGATCTAATTACCATGTTGATGTATTTTTTTTTATAACAAAACTTTGATGTATTTATTCAAGGATTAATGTTGAACCAACGCATTCAAATCCGCCGCATAGACCATTCAACTCAAACGTACTACTAATCAGCAAGAATTAGTGATCCACATGCAGTGACAAAATGATCAATAATTAACATTAAAAACCAATTAAAGTGTTAATCTAAAGGTAAGTCATTTGGATTTTAAAATCTAATTAGCTATAACCATAAATGAAATTGAAACAAGGGAAAAAGTAAAATCATGTATATTATCAAGAAATTACAATCCATTTGTTTATTGAGTAAACAAAACCTAAGAGAGAGAAAAGGAAGGGAGAGATTATTATCATTATTACGAACTACCGTAATTCTGATCGGATTCAAACGGCGTCGGCGTCGGCGTCGGCGTTAGTAACATTGGAAGGCGGAGGAGGAGGAGAGGTCGGATGTGAAGATCCATCGGTGAATCGGTGCGAATCGGAAGGGAGAACGAGAAGAGCATCGTCAGGATCATCGGTGGTTGAAAGATTGATGCAAGAGCACCGCTCCAGAGATGAGAAAAAAGCTGTTGCGAGATTCATACCTATCCAGCTGGCCATGCCGTTCCAGCAAAAGCCTTCACCGTCTCTCTCCATAGTGGTTTGATTGATTCCTTTGCTTGCTTCTTGTTCTGCTGAAGAATGGAATCGGAATGAGAATTAAGAGAATAAATAAAATATTGATGGAGAAAAGGAGTAGGGTTCAATTTTATATTGTGTTTATTAGATTAAATTTTTAATGAGGAGATTTGGGACAACGCGTTACTCTTTTTTGGACACAGTATTTTCGGATCGATTGGCTGTCAGATTGACTTGTCCTCTATTTTCATCTTTTCATTTTTACCCTTTTATCTTTTCTTTTTATTTTCATTTTCATTTTCACCCCTCCCTTATATTATGACTATGGGGTGTAATACAAATTGATGAATCTGATTTTAGATACAAACTATTTAAAACAAAAATTACATTTATATCTTTTAAAACAATAAAAACAAAAGTTTATAAATAAATTATGAGAAACGTTAACAAGTGTCCTCGAGATATTGGTTAATAGATTAAAAAATTAAGTTGAATATTTTTTATGAGATTAAAAAGATAAAATTAAAAAATATATATATTTAATTTATTGAAAACATCAATAATTAACATTTTCAAAAAATATTATATGTATTAAATGCATTGAACATTTAATATTTTTTATTTAGAATTTTTAACCAATATTTTTAGAGCACTTATTAGTATGACCCATAAAATTACTATTGAATCAAGTTTGAATTTGGGTCTAAAAATCAGATTGAATATGTCGTTCAACTGGTTGGTGGGTCTAAAAATCAGATTGAATATGTCGTTCAACTGGTTGGTGTAAGAAACTATCAACTTTGCAAAACTACTTATAGGTTAAAATCGATATAAAGTAAAAAAAAGAAATTATCTTAAATTATTTGAATTAAAGAATTAAAGTCGATTTTGTGAAATTGTCACTTCCAAAAAAAGCATGAAATTAGTCAATTTCTTACTTCTTCCTTTTTTTTTAAATTGTATTTTATCATCGTCAAAACTTCAAACATTCACAAAAAAGAAATTTTTGTTTCTTCTATCATCACACAAACTATTAAATTTTGTCACGACATCATAATTTTTTTTCCTTTCAACTACAATTCATCATCATCACATTGTCCATTATGTTGTCTTACTATATATCCTCTACACGCAACTGCAAATGTTAATTTCTCAATTCGGGGAGAACTACAATAGGAGACAAAGGCTTCTCTCAAGAGGAATAATAACTTCTATATTTCTATAATTTTTGTTGGATCCATGGTTGTAGGATTGACAGCAATTTTGCCAAAATATGATTCACAACAAGATGTTGTGAAAGATGTTCTAACATGTTGGTCAGGTTACATTAAAGACAGATGTTTTGACAGATGTTTTGACAGATGTTATGACATGTTGTACCAGAACATCAATAAAGTGATGTTATTATTCTTGACAAATTTGATTTGATTGTGTGAGAATCTTTTTGGATATATTTAACTTATTTGAGCAGGTCAAGATGATTTAATCTGGAACAATTGATTTGATCTCCAACTGTAAATAAGTTTCTAAAATTGGATGTTGAGACAATTTAGGAAACTTAATGTTTTGTTCCAAGATTTAAGAAGATTTTTCTGCATAATTGGTGCAACTCTCAGCTTGTGAATCAAGAAATATCTAGGTGAAGATTTTGAAGCCCATGGACTACTGAGGAGTATATAAAAAAAACATAAATCTAATGTAATTTGGCTTTCACAATTTTGTAAAAATAAGGGGAAGTTTATAGTCTTAGGTTTTGAGAGTATCTTTAGTGTGTTTGTTTTATGTGTCACCCATGTATCTTTTGATACATTGAGGCAGACTGATTGTTAATCACTCATGAGCTTTTAAGCAAAGAGTTGATTGTGTATCAAGTTATTATTCTCACTCATGAACTTTTAATCAAAGAGTTGAGTATTATTTATTGAAAGTGTAATCTTCTGTTTTGGTTCTTGTCATTAGTTTATGACTGGTTTTATCACTGGGGTGATTGTGAGAAGTGAGAGGGGGATCTCATATCTAAAAGGTTTCTAGGTAGAAGTCGCACAAGGTAGTAATTAAGAGATAAGTTGTAAACTAGAGTTGTTTATATTTGAACTAATACTATCATAGTGAATTTCCTTCCTGACTTAGATGCCCCCAGAGTAGGTGATGCTACACTGAACTGGGAATAATTGACTGTGTTCTTTATCATTCTGCAATTTATTTCTACATAATTTACAGTTTGATATATTTGTTTTGTCAGTTAAAATATATTGTAATATTTGTCTTGATATTGTATTCTGATGTTGGAGACATCAGTATTAACATGTTTTAAAGTGCCGAAATTTATATTTTATTTTCATATAAGAATGTTTATTTACATAAAAAATTATTTAAAAAGCTTAAATAATCAAAGTGTTCCTTAAGTTAACTCATATTTGTTTTTCGTCTTTGTATCTTTTTTTATAAAGTTCTTAAATGTTGAATTTTATTTGGTTTTAGTTCTTAAAGTTAAAATTCACAGGAAATTTGCAGGTTTTCCGCGGATTTTAACTTTAAGGACTAAAACTAAAAAAAAGTTTAACATTCAAGAATTATTTATAAAAAAAGAAACAAGGTTGAAAAACAAAAACATGAAGGACCAATTAGCTATATAAGGCTAAAAAATATATATTATTACCAACTTTCGTATGAACATCGGATTTTATCTCAAAACTTTTTTAAAATAATTATAAATTATATTTTTGTTCTTGGCCGACCATAGCGGCCCTGGTTGACCACTCTAAAGGAATTGCAATCCTTCTATAATCTTATCAGTACACAATGAAGATGTGAAAAACACAAGAAGGGGGAGATTGAATTGAAAAACTTGGATCTAAAACAGCTTAATGACACAGTATTTTTATCCTGGTTCGTTTGATCTCAAACAACTCCAGTCCACCCGTCAAGGTGATTTCGCCTCTCTCCAACGAGGTCTTAATCCACTAATCTCAAAAGATTACAACAGCTACTTTAACAACTGTTAAAGTCTTCTTGAGTACAACCACAATCCGGTTAATCTCAAGGAATTCTTTTACAATATGATTGAACAAAATGTGTTGTTGTTTTTCTAATAAAACAGTTTATCACAACTGTGATAAATTACACAGGTTTAGCTTAGAATAAGGATTGAATTTGCTTGAGCTTGAATATGTGTGGTTGGTGATCTTAGCAAATTGTTGTGTGTGCGTACGTACGTGCTTCATTCTGCAAGATGACTTGTTTATATAGGAAATGTAATGACATTGTCCATAAAGCAAGTTTAATGTTATTAACACACTTTCCTTTTGGAGAGGATCTTGTCTGAAGAAAGTCGTTGGCATTAATTCTGTCTTGAATGTTCAGTAACGCTTTAGAGTCTTTTCTCCTTTCTGCTGATGACGCTTCAGAATATTGATGACTTGGTTTGATATGTCTTTGTTCAGAATCAGAGTTTATATAATAAAGTGCATGTTCTGGTCACCACTATTCAGCGTATAATCTGATTGCTTCAGCATGTAATACTTTATAGCTTATCTTCTGATGCTGATATGATCAGAACTTCTGCATACATAGAACATATTTTTAAGGAGCATATTTGTTCTTTGTATTTATTTATTCTTTGTATTTGTTATCATCAAAACTCTAACCAAGGGTTGTAGAATCAAACTATGTTCTAACAATCTCCCCCTTTTTGATGATGACAAAAACCAGATTTTTCAATTAAGAAATAAAGAATAAAAAGTTTAGAATTAAGAAGAAAAACTCCCCCTGAGTTGATTACTTCCCTAAAGTTCCTTGAGTCTTTGAGCATCAGAGTTTAATTGCGTCTTTTATCAGAGTTTTGTACATGTTTAAGCTTTTCAGAAGATAAAGGTTAAGTAGTTCAGAATGTTTGAGACTTCTGTCTCAGTAAACCGTTATTGAAAATATCTTACTTTCTCCCCCTTTTTGTCAGTTATCAAAAAGGAAATATAATCAGAGCAAAAAAGAAAGTTGATTTATATTAAAAATAAGAAGCAATGATAAATAGTTCAGAACAGAAGCAATGGAAAACAAACGTTACAGATAAACAGATTTAAAACAGAAGAAAATCTAAGAGAGAGAGAGAGAGAGGAGGAAGGCATGTGAACAGAGCTTCCAGCAAGCCTTTGATCTGGGTGTTGGTTTCCTCTTGTTTGCTCAAAATACTCTTGATTTCTTTGTTCGCATCCTCCTGTTTATCCAACCTTTCCTGGATAACAGCATTTGCTCTCTTTAATTCTTCCAGAGTTTGGCTGTCATAAGAAGAAGCTGGAGAATCTTCAGTAACTGGACGCTTCTCAGAGCATTTTGCAACTTGATCACTTTGAACCATTTCCTCTACTGAGATCATCTCTTCTGGAGTAGAAGTCAGAGTGAGACCTTCTGATTCTGGTTGTAATAACCCTAAATCTCCGAAATCCAGCCCCGGCACATTTTGAATCTCCATGGCACTCAAGCGGTCCTCTAATTGCTTGTATCTGTCAGCAGCGGGATGGTATTGTTCGTCATTGTAATCCGTCTCGTTGTCAGAGACTGCAGGACTAGGAGCCCCTCCCCCTTGGGGACTGTCTTTCTCTGCAGAGGAAGTAGTTGGATCAGCCTCGTTATGGAGTGTGTTCCCAAACCTGCGTCCAGTGTTGAACAACGCAATCCTCTTCTTCTTCTTCTTCTTTAGGAGCAGAGCCTTCAACTCTTGTTGACCTTGGGCCAAGCTCATGACCATCTCTTGAAACTGGGCATTCTGGGCCTGGAGGGCCTTAATTGCTTGCTCACTGGATGATTCTGGATTCATGATGACTGTTCAAAATAAACAGCGAAGGAGATTAAGCAACCTGTAGAAAAAAGGGTACATGTTATGCACATGATGCATGAGATGCTATCTATGCAATGCATTCAAGGATTTTAGAAATTCACAATTGTTGCAGACAAAAAGAACGCACGTCATATTAATAAGAAAAGATTTGTTAGTACATAAATGCCCCATGGGCCAAATATTA